CGGCCGCGCCTTGTTTCCCGCCTGCTCCCCGTGCGCTCGCTCGTTCGCTCGCAAGGTAGGATTCGTGCTTTTCTCACTTCCCGAGGCGGAGATTGGTGAGCTCCTGCCCTTGTTTCAGCCTGAGCGTTGGGGCTGAGTCTTTGCGTGCGGGCCGCGCAGCGGGATCCGGGGTGCGCTCCCGGCTCCCCGCTGCCCCCTCCCCGCTGCCCCCTCCCCGCTGCCCTCTGGAGGCCGCCGCTGGATGCCTCCGTCGCGGGGGGTTGCAGCTGCTGTCCTGTGAATGATTCCGTTTGGTTCGGCCACGGCCAGGGAGTAAAATGAGGCTGAGTTCAGCCTCCTAAAACGCGTGGGGGCTCCCCTCCCCTCTCCTGGTCTCGCTTGTCAAAGAAATACCTTTACTGATGTCAGAGAAAGGAAGAGAGAGGGAGAGAGAGAAACACTGGTGATGAGAGTCACTGACCCGCTGCCCCCCGCACGCCCCCTGCTGGGGAACGAGCCCGCAACCCGGGCCTGTGCCCCGACCCGGAATTGAACCGCGACCCCCTGGNCCAGAAGAAGGCCACCACCTTGGCCGCGAGGCGCAGCATGGCCGCCGCGGCCTCGTTCGCGCAGCGCCCAGCCACCTGAGGCTCCGGCACGTGCCCACGCGGCTCCCACCGCCCTCAGCCAATGGGGCGCCTGCGCCTGCGCCTNAAACAGTGGTGATGAGAGTCACTGACCCGCTGCCCCCCGCACGCCCCCTGCTGGGGAACGAGCCCGCAACCCGGGCCTGTGCCCCGACCCGGAATTGAACCGCGACCCCCTGGGTCCTAGGTCGGCGCTCAACCGCTGAGCCGCGCCAGCTGGGCACAGCNCGTAGTCGCGCCTGCGCCGATGTTCCTTTGACCTTGGCCAATGGGCTCGCCCCCTCTGGGACTGCCCCTGCGCCCAGCGGGGAGTTTGGCCAATGGGAATCACGGCGCCCGCGCCTGCGCGCACGTCCCGTCGATATTGGCCAATGGGGGCCTCCGTGCACACCGCGACCGTTGGCGGGTCAGCCGTCTGGGGCCCGGCGGTTGGCCGCCGTTCGCGCGCTGGGTCCT